GATTCCAAGAAAACTCTGCTCATATGAGACAAGAAACAACTACATTTGTTTTAATGAGTGAATCAGTTTAGGAGTCACCGTTCCTCTATAAAGATACTGAAGCTGTCGCCACAGAAGATTGGAGTTTAAAGGAACAGGCTGATGAAATCACGTAAAGGGGAAATTACTTGTCAACACAGCGTTCTGCCACAGCTGTTCTATCAAAGTACATTACTTCTCTGAATCTGTACCACTGGTGTGTTGTAATGTGGCTGCTCTTCTTTTCATTTCTAATCGAATGCTGCCATCTGCTGGCCAAGCTCTTACAAGCGCCAAGTAAATAGTCAGGCTTGTGTTTTAATTGTGAACTTGGGTACAAACAGAAGTGCATCAGTGCTATAAAGTCCTCCTTTTCAACAAACGATTTCCCCCTTTAACTGCCTTTATAATGTACCTAGTATTAGAATAAAGAACTTACCCTAAATCTCAGATGTTTCAGACAGTGTTCAGGGAGTGTTTTTACCTTTACAAAGATTTCTAACTAAATCTTGCATTACCTTGCTTGATTTCTAAGTAGACCAGAAGAGCAACAGCTTCCAAAAGAACATGGGCGGGAATCTCACTGGCTATTTGGTTTGTATTAGTAGCTGTGTTTCAAATCATGAACGTTGTAAATCCTCTTTATAGTCAGCTGGTGTTGGTCACGCTTCATGTTGGAGACGAAGACAACAACATGTGTGGGAACAGCTGATCATGTGGGTTAAATGTTTGTTGGAAAAACCTACCACTCTGCGGATCCTGGTCTTGTAGTCGATGTGAAGCTCCTCATGTTTCTGCAGTGCAGCTTCTAAAGACCTCTTCAGATCCAACGCTCTTCTCAACAGCTGCTGCTCTGCACCTGACTTGGTAAAGACCTGCACACGCATGCAGCCAGGACAGAAACATGGACGATGCACCAAACCACTGGCAAATAATACACCAGGTACAGCAGGAGTGAAATCATGGTTGCATTAATAATCACCCAACAGACACATTTGTGATTTACATATCCACATTTTTGAGCCCAGTGACTCTGTACTAACCTGAACCCAGCCCTGCACGGCCGGCAGGTGTTTGGTTGTTATCAGTCTATGGAGGTCTATCACCGTGGAAACCACCGCCTCATTATCTTCTGTCTCCTTCACATGTAGACCTGAATGGAATGATAAATACAGTACAGATGTTGTTGAACACACATGTACGATTCGAGGATCGTCTCTTAGGCAAAAACATGGAGTCTGGGCAAACTGTAGCTCATACTCCTGGTTTATTCTGATATTTACAGGCTTTAATGAAACAAGCATGAAAAAAATCAAAGCGATGTCAAAGCAGACTTTGTTGGCCCATGAGTACATTCATTGGGCGGGGTAACGTTTTAATTTTCAAAGTTTTTTATAGTTTAATTTCTATTATTTAGACATGTTTGCCTTGTTTAGACATGAAGTGACAGGGGAGAGATGTAACACAGGTCCCTGGCTGCACGTGGTCAGAATCTTCAGATCCCGTTTCATACCAGATAGCGCATGTGCACGCTGTACCATAATCTAGGTCAGCTGCAGGACAAGAGAGTCACTAAAGGAAATAAGCAGCATCTACACAACACAGCTCCTCAACATTTACTGGACAAAGTCTACCAGACCTTCATGGGGATTTCAGTGCGGTGTAGCCATGTATGTGAGTCTTACCCACCAGGACTTAGGTTCAGGTCCAGACTGTAGGAGTGAGACATGAGCCCCGAGCTCCTGAAAAACGAGTCTTCGTCAAGTGGCTCCTCTTCCTCTTCTTCACTACTTCCTTCTTCCTCCTCTTCCTCGTCATCTTCTTCCAGCTCTTGCTCCACCTGTGCACTCTCCATTTCTCCCTTCTTTTCTTCTCCATCTTCAACCTCGTTTCTCCTCTCCTCACCTTCAGACCTTTTCTCCTCCCTGTTGTTCTCCTCTGTCATTCCATTGTCTCTTTTCTTTTCTTCCCTGCCCTCCTCCCTTTCGTGCATCTTTCTTTCTCTTCCATCATCCTTCAGGTCTTTGCTGCAGCAGGGCTGGTCATCATCTGAAGGACACTCACTGACTGGTTTGGAGTTTGAAGTGCTGCTCTTGGCTGTCTGGATACCTGTGAGGTCAAACTGAGGGAAAAGCAGCCCCATACATGACTCCATCTCTGTCAGCGTTGCTTCCATTTCTTGGTATGACTCTGACAAAGAAATAACACTTTGTTAATAAAGGCTATGAGAGTTTTATATCTAGAATTTCTTCAAATCAATGTTTGGTTTAAAAACACATTTAGACTGCATTCTGTGTTCTTGATTTGTGAGGTAACATTTCTGTCCAATTAAACACAAAACAATCTGCTAATCTTCACTTTAATTTACTGACCAAGTATAACTATGATCACAAGGTGATGTGGTGTTTACCCTCCATGTCTTTGACTGCTGCCTCCACCCTCTCCTTGTAGATCCTCTCCATTTTCCTCTGTCTCTCTTCCTCCCTCCTCCTTTCTGCTACTGTCCTGGCCTCCGCATCCTGGAAGTCCACCTGAAAACAGAAAACTTATCTTACAAAACCAGAAGCCAAAGAACTGCACTGTCTAATGAATGAATGAATCTACACTGACCCTGTATTTTTTCAGGTCGCCAGTCCATCACAGGATGACACAGGGACCACAAAAATATTTTGCAATGGCATTTTTTAATATTATTAAATGAGCATCACCTACAGCAATGGTTGCAACCAAGTTGTCATTTTCTGTCTTTGCTTCTGCATTGCTTTGGTTTTAAGCCACCAACTAGAATAATGTAATAAAAAACATTTGCAGCAGTGTATAGACCATCGTATGCAAGTGTTTCTTTTTATATGTGAGCAAGACACAAACAAAATGGGGACCAATTCAACAAAACACTGCTCTGTAGCAACACAACACAGCACGCACTGACTGTCCAGCAAGTGTGGACCGTGTCACCGTCCTGGTGTTTACATTCATGGAAGTAACCAAAACCTCCCACAGATGTCTAAATAATATGTCCCGATGCTTTTCCACCATTTAATGTTTATTAAATGCAGGCACTTAAATTGTGAAAAGGACACACTGAAAAAAAAACTATACATGATTAAAATGAATCAGCCATGCTGAGAGAGAGAAGAAATCTGATCTGCTGCATGTTCTCCAGATTTATAATAACAAGGTTACTACAGTACAAGTACCTCCGATTTGCGTTACTTAAGTGTACGTACGTTCACTGATTGCGTCATGCTCTCAACATGAGCGCTTCTTAAAGACTAACTCACGGTCAACAAGAAAGGAAATTTGACATCAAGTGAAATCTGTACACCGGTATAACTTATCATTTCCAAATGTCACATCCCATTTTAGCACAAAACCAAGAAACAAAACCCCAAACTTCTGTGTTTCAGAGGATACTCATTTTAGTTTAGCATATATTTAAGCTTAGGGTTAAAAGCAGTCCACACATTTCTCACCTTCTTAACCTGCTTGAGAAAGTGGTAGCCCAGAGCCAGCTTCTTATAAGCCGAGCCATAAGACGTCTGCCATGACTGGACAGTCTGGATGGCCAGTGACCTCAGCTTCTTGGCTACTTCCTTCGGAGGAGGGAGGGGCTGCTCCATATCTGTCTCTACTGTCAACTCCAAGAACTCCTGCAGGGGGGAGGAGGGGGAGGAAAGGGGAGGCGGTGGAGCATAAGATGAGGAGACATGTTATTGCAAAACTCAGTGACAGTATTATTTCCGTACTAACTATACTTTGGCTTTTAAATGTGATTCAAAAAGACATTCCTGACGTTTCACACACAGTTTGTTCAGACAGACTTTTACTCCCACAGCTTACTTGGGTTAAAGTAAACATGATGAGCTCCATTCAGATTGGATTTATGTTTTGAGGGGTGGCGGGATGAGTGAGTTTTCTGCCACAGTTCAGTTGCGTACGTTTGGATTTCTAAACAGACTTGTGGACATTTCTTCACAGAGATCAGAGATCATAAAATCATCACAAAATATAAGTCACACTGAATCATGTCAGTATGTGTTTCAGTGTGTGTCCAGCTCTGGCTGAGTCTGAGGACATGTTGGACTAGAAGAAGCTTTTGGCTTTGTCCTTTGCCATATGTCCATATCTGTTACAAACTATGCCCTGGAGTTTTCTGTTTTAAAATATCATCTGGAATATTAGTCCTGATAAATTCAGTAAAAAAAAAAAAAATGGGGGGGGATGTAGTATCTTATACCAAAGAGCGATTAGTTTACCTGAAGGTTGTCGACTACCAGTGTCCTGAAGTGGTGCGATCTAGAGAAGAGCTCACTGGCTATCTGGAAGGCAGACAATCGGATCTCAGCGTGTTCTTGGTTGAGCTGGGACATGACTGAGTGGTACACGTGGTCTATGCAGTCATTAGACACTCTGGGAGGAACAGAGGACAGACAGTTGACAGTGATTAGCCCTGTGAGGAGTTTTCATACTGTGGTGAACTAGATTTTAACAAGGACATAAACCATGTGGTGTGATCATTACTACTGTGATCATACAGTAGTAATGATACATTTTTTTTTCCAGTGGCTGTCTTCATAAAGCTGTTAACATGACAGGTCTATCTAACAAAATGTCTTTTATTGGATTTTACATCAACCTGCAGGAATGTTTCACTATTAATTTTCTTATAACATTCTAGTATACCATGATGGTTACCATTTTCCATACCACTGTACCTGTTAATGTTGTTTTACATACATGAAGTGTGTGCCATCGAGGTGTAAAAGAAATCCCACATTTTCATAACAAAAAAGGCCACATCAGAAGGTGAGCATGAAAACATGTTGCACCAGTGCACAGTGTGTTTCTCCCCATTCCTTATGACGCTGGTGTGCATCAGGGGTGAAGCCTTCACTTTTAATGCCTGAGAATCATACAAATCAGCCCACTATTTGGCAGCAAGTATCAGAGATAAATTCACCAGAGGCCTGTGCTATGGAGCAGGACTTAGGTTTAGGTTTAACTCTGTTTTTTTGGGGTTACAATGGTGGTTCACTTCTTACTAAGGGTTGATCACCATCATAACTTATGCTGAACACCTAATCTGCTCCAGAGCAGGTTATGTTCGAGATGTGTATTAGAACACCGCCGACTGAAAATTCAGTTCTCGTGGAAAACTGGATCACAGGTCTTGGAAGAGCCAAACGAACTAGATGCACAGACAGTGTTTCAAGAGGGTCTCTGAGGAGGGCAAGAAGTTTTAGAGCTGCGATTTCAAAGCCACTTCATTGTTCTTTATATATTGATATAATCCTAAAACAGAGACAATAAATGATTAAAGACTTCTATTTCTTGACTTTATACACACGTGGATAAAATAGCTGTTAGCCCTCAGTTAATGAAAGAAAAACCCACAGCGGTCATGGAAATATTTATTAATCATTTTTTAATAATTATTTATTCTCTACACAATCTGTCTCATGAGTAGAATAAAATGACTGTCATCTGCAATCTTTACAGTTTTGTGTTGCATAATGACCATTGAACTGAATCTCCCTCTGAGCAACTTACACATAATAAAAATTGTCGTGAGATTTTGCTTTACATGTGGCAATGACATTGATAAGCCCATTTACTCATGTTCCAGTTTTTATTTTTTTAATTTCTCATGATAGTTTAGGATTATAGTTTGTTTTCAGTGTGAGGACAATGCAGCTACTGTCCATGTTTGCAAGTGTTCATCATGACTGCTCCTTTCATGTGAATGCGCTCAGAGTCAATTTCAGAAACTCTGGGTTGAAGGAGCTTCATATGACCGCATAGCGAGACAGTGGTGGCTCGGTTTAGTGAAGCCAGATAAGAAAAAGAAACACTCAATTTGCTTTGCAGTACAGCCCTCTGATTGGTTGAAATAAAAACCAGCACTCCATGCCACACACTGACCTACACCCAACTACCCAGACTCAGTATATGCTCGTGTCATACTTGCAGAGCTTCTTGACCTCCTTCATTTTATCCTGGTTGAGCTGTGGCTGTCCCGAAGTGGTCAGTTCCTCCACCAGCTCTGACAGCCGGTCCCTCTGAGACAACTCCATCACTGCTCACTGACACACAAACAAACACAGGTACACTGCTGACATGATGTGAATAATCTGGAGAGAAGTCTTCCAGTGGCATAAGGCAAAAATAATGAGTACAAAATTCCATTGAAGTGAAAACATAGATCTTATTGAAAAGTCATCTCCAGTGGCAATGAGGAGCTGAACACAAAGTGAAGAGCAGAATGCATAAAATGGACAAAAAGTCAACAGTGTACACAATGTCAAGCTCTCTGGTGGTTATTTAAGGCTGTCTTAGAAAGATTAAGGTCGTACAGATGAGGTTTTGGTCCTGATGATATTTCTCACAGTATAACTCTCCACCTTGGACCACCATCAATCAACACGAAGCGGTTGTAGTCGGTTCAAAACACAACACCAAGACTCAACGCAGGGCTACTTTACTCCCTGATGACTTTAAATCTCTACATGGCCTGACTCTGGTCAAGAGGTTTAAACTTCTCGTAGGCCCTCAAGTCAGAGAATCAGCTGTTGTGAAAGTTCCACGCTTCACTATTCAAATAACATGTTTAGACTGATTTAGCTCCATTGGTGTAAAAATAACCCCCTAACTGTCAAAACCGCTCAATGAAAAAGCTGTTAAAAAGCCACATAGACAGACAGACATCTATACGATCAGGTCTTGTCTCAAGTATTTTTTTATTGCTGCCCTTTTTAAATCATTCACTGCATATTTCTAACGTCTGATTGTCTTTTCAGTGTTTTACTGTTGCTTTTGCTGTTTCTCCTTTTTAGAAAGCTCTCTGTAAGTTCAGCTTTAAAAGATGAAATCCAAGCACAGCTTATCACGATGACAGACGGATGTTGTCCCTCAAATCAGACAACTGGTGATGTGTAAAAACAAAAACATAAACTGTACATCAGTATATTCACTGTACCGCTGTGTATTCTGCTAGTAACACAGTCACCCATTATGTTTAACACACCTCACTGACCAGATATGTGAGGTAACAGGGATCCACCCATTGTTGTACTTTGACTAATTACATACAATAAATCATTTCTTAACAGTCACATCTTATTAACTCACCACATAACTACCTTCGTCAACCTTTAAATACATGTACAGGTTGTATAGAATTGAAACGGACACGATAAATAATAAATATGGGAAACCTATCCAGTCTTTAAAGCATTATAGCAGGTTGAAGTGTAGTGTTGGAGGCTAACATTAGCCTGTACATGCTAACACAATGTAAACACAGCCTGTCTGTTGGTCTCCTACCGGCTGCTCGCCTGTTTTAACGGAAGAAACCTCCGGAAATGTTCCTGCCGTGAGCTCCCGGTTCACCTTCATGAGCCGGTGTCCACTCAGGACAACAGCCAACAAATCCACGGCGGCTGTTTTGTTCTGTTTACATCCTTCTACCGATCTGGAGCTTCAGCGACCGAAGAAACACGCTTACTTCCGGTACTCACTTGCACCGTTGGTTACTTTTCAGAATAAAAGCACCGAATGGATAAACTACTGCCAAACTAGTCAGAGGTCATTCACAGTTGACTTCAATTTTTTTTTTATACCCTTTCATTAAAGAAAAGGCAAAATTCACAACAGTCACTCAAATAACTAGAAACTGGAAAAAGTAATTAAAAATTGCTAAATTGTATTTTAGTGAAATAAGGATTGCTTTTGAACTGCTGCAGAAAAGGATAATTTAAAGAAAACAAACAAAACTGTCCCAGACAAATGAGAGTTCTTTGCTGATGAGCAGTGGGCCAGAA